GGTTTTCCATTCATATCATCCTCTCACAYAAATCAAATAGAAGATRCTACTACAAATGGAAACATTAACCYGAAAAAGTGTAAAAAATCAAGTTTATTTACTTTATAGAGTGTGGATGGGATACAAAGGCATGATTTTTGCCTCAGGAGTACTTCTAATTGCACGCACTTTCAGTGTTTTCATTGTGTGTGAGTGAGTCACAATGTCACAATGTGGGTTCATGGCCTAAGGGATGTGTGAAAGATTCCGCTGAAAGGCGCTCCAGGAATATTTCATAATCCCATGGAAAGTGCTGACATAYTGATTGCTTTGTGTGGGAGCTCAGGAGGTCTTCCTTCACCTGAGGAATATTAGAGAATRATGAGGCATCCCTGGAGAAAACTGCTGCTGTTGAGTCTTTCCTGACCTGGAAAAACCCCACATGTGTATGAGCCAAATAGCAGCTCAGTTTTCAGCTCCACACACTGTCCTTAGGTCATTAGCTGAAACTGTTAATGAGGCGGGCACTCACGGCTGCAGTGGTGGGTTTTTTGGCTACCAACTCCTCGAGCTAGAGCACATTCATCAGAGGATGGCAACAACAAATGGCTGAAGTGCTGAGCTGGATTTGGAGAGGTAGCGCACAGATAAAAGCCTGCAGAAGCCCTTTGCAATTCCCTTAGTCATCCATTCCCACTGAAAGCTTCTCTTTGGGAGCTTCCAGGAGGCCTGGTGCGACCTTTGGTCGTCCTTTTGGTCAGAGCTCTTATCTGTGTAGTGCAGACCCGGCCTCTTTCTGCTTGCACTACTCCAAAGCAGTTTTTGTGGGATAAACAAACCGTATTTGCTGATGCACGTTTCCTTATCAGCTGGACAACACGCTTCTCATGCATGTTGGGTCACACTCGCTGCTGGGCCAGCTCCAAGAATTCCAGGGCGGCTGCATCACAGCTCGTTCGGCGCTCGCTCACAGCCACAGACTGTAAAAAATCACAGCCACATTGGGATGGAGCCTTATCTTAGAGCTCACCAAGAGTTTTGCAGCATTGCAAAGCATCCTTAGGTTGATGATTGCAGGTCTTGGACCTTTTTAGGGAGATGRCAACATGATAAGCACTGGTTTGGGGAGCTGTCACAATGCCAGACTGAAGACCATGTGCCTTATGGAAGGAGAATTTTAGTTTTATTGTGACTGTTTCTTTAAAATATAAATATAAAAGTAAAGCATGTCTGTATCTCAAAACCAGCTCACAGTTGTTACAAAATACATTACTAAAGTTGTCTGAAACAAGATGCAAGACACATCTGAGGAGAGGAGAGGAGAAAACCAAAACCCTGTGAGTTTTTACCAACCTACCCAGGAAGTTACAGCCTTGAAGAAGAAACATCTCAGGAATCACATTAAATGTCCCTAGTACAGAGCTACTGGACTATTCCTGCTAAGAAGGTGTTATTTGTCTTRAGGCATGGCTTTAAAAAGTTATTTCTCTCTCAAAACCACAAAGCAACCAGCTTTCCATCACCCTACTAGCTTCCTGTTACGTTATTCCTGGTTGCCTCTTCTCTAATTCCAGCACCTCCACAAGAATCAACCTTCTTTCAGTCCATTCCCCCTTGGTTACAGGCTGTGCTGCCTTATGCCAAGCTATAAATGTAACCAGAATATGCCAGATGCAGAGCAGAGGTGATCACGGAGCACTTAGCAAAAGGTGCACTCAATTTTGTTATTAAAAAAAGAAAAATCTCTTCACTGAAGATCTAAAAATCGAAATTTTTCATGCATGGTCTGCCATGGGGCAGGGCTTGTAACTGAAAATGGGAGAGAGAAATACAKTAATGCATTAATTAATGCTTGCAAGGCACTTGAAAATGGCACATGGTGTATGCTCCTGCAAACCACATTGATTAATTACCATCCAAGATCTGCTGGTTTGTTCAGAACCTTCCCGAGATGTGCCTTCTCATTAGCCTGGTACAAAGCAACCCACAGCAGGAGGGAACAAGTTGCTTCAAACATGGTTCAACTTTCTGCCAGTTTAATCTTCATCTCACTGACAGACTTCTGAATCTTAATTATAGTGCCTTAAATGTTTTGTGATATCGTATCTCAATCTCTCTGTTCTGTGTCTTTTTATGTTTTTTTAGTTGTTGTGGGACAGAGGAATAGATAATTTTTTCCAGTGTCCATTAAAATTCCCTTTGCCTGCAGTGCAGTATGGGTTCCATAAAAGAGATGAACCTGCTGCAAGTGAAATAAGCTGATGCTGCACTGTCTTTTTAGAGCAACAAAAATCCTTATAGATTATTTTCCTGAGTGCCATGAATCTCCTTCAAAGCCTTAAGTCACTGATATCAATTAATAAACTTAATAGTCTCATTTTCAATTCACATTCAGGCTGTGCAGAGCGTGTGCTCTGGCAGATGCTTGAAAGCTTTGCCTTTCAGAGATAAAATGTTACCTTGTGTGTGATGGGGGTGCCAAGGCGGGGGCGGGGGGAGGTGATTCAGGAGCAGAAAGACCTGTTAAAGTGCAGCACCTGAGGCCTCCTTGTTTTCTGAATTTACAGTCTCAGGCTGGCAGTCGTRTAAATGAGTGATGCTCTCTGATGTTCTCTTCCAAGCAGGCAACGAAATTGGCAGGGAGTCTTGGGTTTTGTGCTGATGTGTCCAGAATTCAAATAATTTCATTCTTGGCTATAATGACAATTGGARGCAGAGTATTACCTTGAGAAAAGGGAAGGGAGAGACAGCTTCTGGATCCCCTATTGAATTAACAACCGATTCCCATTTACTCTCTCGGCTGAAAACTCTATTATGCGGGGCTCTTATTGCCCTTATTCAAGGGCAGGGAATTAAAAAAGTGATATCGATGGTAATGCTCTCATCTTCCTGCCATGACACTGAATAATGGGGACAAAGAAGGGGAATCTTGACGGATGATACGCCTTTTAAAATACTGCTGATAGTGAAAACACAGAGAGGACAACGCTTTGAGTATCAGTGATGAAGTCATATTCAGATTTTGTGCTTTTTGCTTAGGACTTTAAATCAGCTTTGCTTTCATTTTTGCGGTTGTTTCTGTTTTATTTTCTTGTTGCTCCAGGGGAGAGTCCTTACTATAAGGAACATAATTGAGATGAGGTAAAGTGTTGGTTACACTAATTCCAAGAGAAATGCGCTCTCCCCTCCTGGATTTAGAGACCAAGCTTTGGGATTCTGTCAGGGAAATGTCCAGCAACAKACTGGGATCATTATTTGGGTAGAGTTGTACAGCTGCTCAAGTGGAGGCTTTTCTGGCACTTTCCAGTTCAGCTTAAGCTCTTTGTGAAGTCACAGACTAAATAATGCTGATGRTCTTATAAAAAGATGATACCCACTGCGGACCCTTCCTTTAAAAACACATACATTTAGATAAAATATATATTTCCCTGTGTGAACTAGGCCTTACACAAAATAATGAGTACATCTATGTTAGGAAGTTTTATGGAATAAGTGAGAATATCTGCATTCTAAGGGTGGATAAATAAGAAGGAAGATACTGAACTACCTCGCCAAAAGTCACTTTCTGAGATGAGAACAAAACACAGGTCTTGGTCTACTTAGTGCAAAACATGAGGTCTCCCTGAACTATGGACACTTTTCCCTGATTTCAGGGCAGATTAATGAGGTCCCTTCACCTAAATTTTCAGTCAAAGCTTTCTGTGAGGTGGAATCATGAAAATCAGCCCTGCAGTGTGCCCTGGCATTGCTCACACCGTTTGTATATGTGACACAACCTGAAGAGCCATTGTGCACCTCTGCCCTGCCTCAGCATCCTGGATACACCCACCAAGCTGTGTAAATTAACTCACTAATTAGTTTAGACTTTGTTTCTAGCTGGATGGCATATTTGCAAGGAGCCACTGTGAATGAACAGAGCTGATAGCTGTGTTTTCTTTGCCCACGTATCCTTCAGCCTCCACTGCCTGGGATTTAGGCTAATAATTATAATTATAAACATCTGCCTGTGGCCTCCAGAGGTCAGCATATCACTGGAAAATAGCTCAATATCAGCATTCTCAAACGGTACTTTTCATGCTTGGTCTTGTAAGGTGCAGTTCTCAATTTCACTGATAAATTGAAAAGGTTTGTCCCCAACTCTAGTTCTGACAACAAAAGCAAGGAAAGGGCTCTCAGAATATCCATTGTAAAATGCAGAATGTTGTCATTGATCAGTGCKGCCATTTGGATGGGAGATCCCCTGGKTGATAAGTTTATTGACAATAGTTCATTAGATAKCCATAGGTGCTATTCCTGATGTGTCAGTASTGATGGGGTGAATGGACATGCCAAACACCTTCGGCATGGATGCCAGACTTGTTCAGTTGTGRGAAAAGCTTTAATTTTTAGTTTCAACACAGCTTGCAGTTCTAGTCCCACCCTCAGAAAGAATAATGAAGATCCAGAAAACAGAGGTGAGAAACAGAGATTGCCAGAGGCACAAAACAGCTTCCAGGCAAGAAGGAACTTAGMCTGTTCACCTCAGGAAAAACCAGTTGGAGGGAATATGATACCATAGAATGGTTTGGGTTGGAAGGGACCTTAAAGTTCACTGAAAATAATTATTTCTAAATACTGGCWTGCATCTATTAGCTTTAGTGATATAACCCTGGATCAAAATCACAGAAAGCTACCTGTCTATAAGACCCAAATCTTACAGAATCTCTGAGATCACATGGACTCAATATGTTGCAAAACACCCAGAACCAGCCTCAAAACATCCTCATAAACACCAGAGAGCCTTGGTGTCTCACAACACTGATTTCTCCTACAGAACAATCTACTTCCTTAGCATGAAGAACACTACAAGATTTACTGAGCCCTCAGTGTACTCACATTTGTGCTTTGAAATGCAACCTGAGGTGGATCCAGCTGCAGACAAAGCATAGAAATCCTGCTACAATAAATAAAATTAACAACACCAAAAAAAAAAAAAAAATAAACACAACTCAAAAAAAAAAAAAACCCAACACTCAAATCTTTCATTATTTTTATTAAAGCTGCAGAGTCTTACTACACACAACAAATATTTTATTGATATAATCTAAGTTAATAAAATAGTTGAACAACTCTTTAGATTTATATTTGTATAGAAACAATCTGGGTAACATCTCATCTTGAAACAGCAGTGCCCAAAAAAAACAATTCAGCAGGATTTTTTAACAGAAGAGTTTGGGACTAGAGGATGCACTATTCATTCTCAAAGGAAAAAGAAAAAATCCATGCAAAAATAACCCACACCCTCCTCCTGCTTCCTCTCCCACCCAAARTGTAAGGCCGTATGGAATGACCATGTGAGGGATGGCTCTTTCCTTCCAGAATTCCTCATCATGCCTACAGTGGGAGTTGTCATCTAAACTCAGTAATTAAAACAAGACAAAAGGAAAACTGAATTGCACAATCCTAGTCTGCAGGTGACAACATCATAACATCTCTTTACAGAAAGTCCCTACTCTGCTCCACKGAGGAGGATGGGTTATGGTGCTGGGTCTGTCAGCTGATGTCAGTTACTGTCCGYACTGTGAACACAAGTCAGTCCAGCTACTATTGCTTTGCTCTCCCTCCTTCACCACATGTAGTTTACATTCTGCGTAGCACTGCCTGCCAAGGGCCAACTGCGTGGTGTTCCCCCCGTTTCAAAAGCTCAAGGGATGATCTCCTGAGTGCAGCTAGGCAGCGGTGTCACCCGGGAGGTTCTGCTACCGGCCACGGGCACGTCCCTGCTAGATCATGCCGTTGATCTTAGTCCACTCGTAGATGTCCTGCTCACACACTATGTCCGAGTTGATGAGGAGGTATCTGTCCCCCACGCAGAAGTGTTTCTGGCAGGCAGCACACTTGAAGCACTCAAGGTGATACACTTTGTCCTTCACCCGCATGGTCATCTCGTAGGCGCGGATCCGCTTCTCGCAGGAGGCGCACAGCCCGTCCTGGCCAAAGAGCCTGCAACGACACAGCAGAGATGTGAGCACAGCTCCTTTGCTGCTGTGGGGAAAACAAAATCAAAACAAGAGCTCAACATCCTTTATCTGTTAGAACCAGTGCTGCCGAGCAGAACTGGAAACTCTGCAACACCAAAAATTGAAATGGAAAATCCAAGGTCCTCACCTGTTTTTCAATGTCATAGAATCTCAGAATGGGTTGGAAGGAGCCCATRGTTTGGGTTGGAAGGAACTTTGATATCCACCCAGTTCCACCCTCTCTGCYACGRGCAAGGACAGCTTCCAATATCYCAGGTTGCTCCAAGCCCCATCCAGTCTGGCCTTGAACATTTCCAGAGATGGGGCAGCCACAGCTTCTCTGTACAGCCCGTGCCAGGGCTTCACCAGGGAAAAATTTCTTCCTTAATATCCAATCTAAATTTACTCAAATCTATCAATATAAGTGACTTCTCTGATCAATGATCTTATCCTGAATTGGAGGAGCAAAGGTTCCCCAYAGCACTGCATGAAGTTGTGTTATACTAACCCTTGGTCTTCTGTGATCAACAGGAATTACCTTTTGTTGGCAAATTTTGCCTTTCTTAAGCTGTTGTTCTGAGTTGAGTACAGCCATGGTCTAAGGCTCTCCTGCCTTTTTCCTGTGCCTCCACATTGGAAATCTTTCAAACCCAAACATTTCTATATCCGTGAAGCCACTCCTGATCCGTGAAGCCACTCCTGATGGGTTTCAGAAGGACACATTCTAGGACCTCCTGGATACCTATGCCAGCCCAAACAGTTTTATGATGTGGACTGCTCTTTGATCCACTTGGAGAAACCTTATCAGAGGACAATATCCTCATGATATTGTCTATAAAAAGGAGCCTCTAATGAATGCCCTAAAGGGTTTATTAAGTCAAATCAATAATAAAGAAGTATGAATTTATTTATATTTTGTCCTTAAAAGGGAGGAGTGCCGCAGGTGATGTGTTCAGTGTACACACTCATTGAGTTTGACATCTAAACTTCCATACTAATTCTGGAAAGAGTTTTCCACCTCCYACATGTCTCTTGCATGTGCTGTGCCTGTTTTATATCATCTTCTGAACTGGAAAAAGGATGTCTGGTAAATTAAAAGAGCCCTTTAGGAGAAAGAACATAATTYCTTTTGTCTACCAGGAGATGTCAGTGTTTACTTCTGCCCAATAAAAGTAACGTTAAGGTTGCACACAGGTTGCCAAATTTGTCATTAATGAAGGAAGATATTATCCATTGCATTATTAAATGCATAAAAATGTTGGATTTCACTGCAAGAAAATGCATTAATTGTATTGCCATACTTCCTCTTGTTTCCATTTTAAGATGAAAAGTAGCTGGGAAGTGTAATTAACTTTGCTGGATTTGCAAGTGGTCCCATTAGCAGAACTCAGTCCTTAGCTTCTGCTTAGAAAAATTCCCATCAGAAAAACTCAGGGACAGCATAATTAGGAACTCCACTGAGATTTTGGTTTTGTTCTTATTGGCAGGTAAATTAGCCTTCAGTAAAAAAAAGCTGGAAAAATACCAAATATCATACTGTTCCACAAACCTCCTGACACGTTAGGGATCCATCAGAAGTAATGGAACACCACCAGCACAGAAAAGACCAGCAGACTTTAATCAAGAATRTAAAGATCTTTTGTTATCAGTTTTTGTGAAATATCTTAGTCTCCATTTAATCCTTTATTTACAAATTTTGGCAAAACTGGCAGGCAGAGTTATTGATGAAAACACTCATAACAACCATATTTGTAGRAYCTSATTCTGCAAAATGTGCTGAYTCTTGCTTATTCAGCACCAGGTTTAAGAATGCTAAAAACCCAAATGATCTTTCACCTCTTACCTGGGTTGAAACACCTCTAAGCTCCAAGACAATGGTGGGAGAAGCACAGAAGTCCTTAAAACCATTCAGGGGAACCAGTTCATTGCCAGCTCAGTGGGRCATTGCTGGAATTCAGCCCCTTTCCCCAGTTTCTGGTTGCCAGAATGCCTCACTGCTCCTGCATGGTTCACCTGGAGCTGTGGGGTTAGGTCTGTGCAGATTGACAGATGCCAACAACCCCAAGCCCTAGGAGATCTTTTTATAGTCTTCTACATTACCAAATAATTCTGTTTTGTCCACAACATGTAGCAGTGCTTTCATTTCCATTAAAAATACTCATTTTTTCCCCAAAGTTTCAATGATTTAGCTATAAACAACTCCAAGTTGTTTATCTAACCAACACACATAATCTCTAGTTTTATCTATATCTTATTGAAGAATCCCAGCAATACCATCTGCAYATGAATCCCAAAAATACAAGGACAGGCTGAGGGAGTTGGAGCTGTGTACCCTAGAGAGGAGAAGGCTCCAAGGAGACCTTAGAACCCCTTCCAGTGCATAAAGGGACTCCAAGAGAGCTGCAGAGGGACATTGGACAAGGGATGGGGGGACAGGACGAGAGGGAATGGCTTTAAAGTGCCAGAGTGTGTTTAGTTGGGATATTGGAAAGGAATTCTTCCCTGAGGTGAGGCTCTGGCACAGGTCGCTGTCTCTCTGGCCACAGAAACTGCAGATGCCCCAACCCTGGAAGGCCAAGTTGGAAGGGAATTGGAGCAAACTGTTCTAGTGGAAGGTGTCCCTGCCTGTGGCAGGGGGGCTGAAACAAGACGAGCTTTAAGGTCCCTTTCCAACCCAAACCATTCACGGATTCCATGATAGGAGCCCCTATTGCAAACCTTATTTATATCTATTGCAGACTGTGTTACAGCCATGACTGCTCGCAGGCTTTGAGAGCCATTCCAGATGAATTCTTTATTCCTGGCCTGGAAGGAGATGGGAAGGAGCGGGGCAAGGAGTGAGTGGGCTGTGTACCTGAGATAGTCCCTCCTGCAGAGCTTCCTGCCCAGTTTGTAGTAGAGGCGCCTGCCCACCTCGCCGAGCCGGCAGCCGCACAGGTCGCAGCTCAGGCAGTCCTCGTGCCAGTACTGRTCGATGGCCTTCAGGAAATAGCGGTCCCCGATGTTCTGCTGGCACCCCCCGCATGTCAGCAGCGATGGGGGGATCTGCAGCACCTCATCCACCGGCTCCCTGAGGGAATGGGACAAACGTTGGAYGGGGACAAGCAACTGGGAGAGCATCCGTGAGACAAGAAGGGAAAGCAAAACCAAGCACAAGGTCGGACAAGTTAGGACAGGGATTACAGCCTCGCTTTTTCTCATCTTCACCAGGGCTAAGAAAGGCATCTAAGGGATTTTACACTTTCTGTTGGGAATGTAAATTTGGAGACTAAGTTTGAGGGTGTCAGAACTTCTCAGAACAGCATGAAATGAATGAATAMCACAGTTGATTCTGTTGCCCAGCTGGTTTAATTTCGCTGCTGGTTTTAATAAACCCAGAATTTTACTTCATGTTGCTGCRGGACTTCTTTTTTCCCTTAGCTAAGGCCATGAATCCCCTGGGATGGGTCTATGCCAACATGCCTCCAGGACCTGGGATTTGCACATCTAGGAGTGACAAGAGGCACAAATCTTTATTGCAATATTAGCACTGACTCTTTATGTGCCTTACTTTGTTCCTTTTTCTAAAAAGCTTGGAGATCTAGRATAATTCTGGTAAAAGAAACAAGGATTTTCTTCAAAGCTACTTTCTTAAGGACTTCTCTTTCTGCAATTTTACAACTTTAAAAAAAAAAAAAAAAACCAGCAAAAAATTTAAAAGAACAGCACCTGAGCTCAGTTCTGCAATGTTTTGGCCTTGACCCAAACCCCAGAGAAGTCAATAAAAAAATCCACTGGGTCCATCCCTCAAGCACTTCCTTAATCTCAAACCTGTGGCTAGAAGAGTGAACCCCAAGTTTTTTCATGTTACTGGGTTAGTGCTCCAGCACAGAGCCCCCGAACAATTTGCTTCTCTCGTTGGTCTGTCCTCCCTAGGGCTGGTGGGGGCAGAGGAGACCTACACTGATGGACAAGCTYGGCTCCCAGTTTTCAGTAGGCAACAGGAAAAAAATTATATTACTCCTGCTTATTTACCGGATCAGCAGTTTTCTGGGCAAAAATKACTTTCTTCAGCAGGGAGGAACGACCTCTGGTCAAGAACTTCTGGGCTGAGAAGTGATCCTGCAGTTTTTATTTAGGCAAGCTGAGCCCCGAGATATTRTCTGGTTATATTCTGCTCTGGTTTCTCCCTTCTAAGTTTAAAGTGCTGTGCCCTGCAAGCTGTGTTGCAACAACCCTCTCCTGCCAGCTCTCCATCCTGTGAGTTCTCATTAAAATCATGGGGAACTCAGATTAGGCCCTACTTTTTCCAATTTTATCCTTTTGGGCCACATACTCCGTTTCCTAACACAACAGGGCTCCACATTGACAACTTCTGAGAGCTTTCTATCAGAAGAGAATACACCTCATTATCCTTTATTGTCTGTTATTTGAAACTTGGAGTGTACCCCAAAATATTTCATCTGAGGGGTGTTTGAGAATCCCAAGCCAGGTTTCTCTGAGAGCCCTAAGCTCCAGAACAGCCCAACKGATGTTTATGCAGAACAGCATTCCTGGTTTACGCATTAGGCTTTTTGATGTCCATGGATTTCTAAGCCAGCACTTAAGCCACCAGAACACAAGGCAGGTAAATAAATAAAGATTAAAAAAACACTTTGTAGTGGAAAGCTGGACATCATTAGGAGCTGGGATAGCATTTCTTAAGAAACGGCATGAAAGAAAATATAATATGTAAAACATCAGATCTGACACGGAATGAAGTGATTTAATCCCCAAAAGCAGCAGTTCCCATGTGCTCACTCTGGGCTCCAAGCGATGGCATTTTTAGTATCTCACAGGAAACAAACCACGAATGACTCAATTTACTGAGAGCAATGTTTTAAGCGTTATCTGGAAATGAAGATTTTATAATTTTTTTTCTTTCTCTCTTATCACGATCCCAGACAAGCCTAAGTGCAGTTAGTTAGCACGTACAGGGCTGAAGTGAGCCCGGGTCTGTGCTGAGTTACCATCCCTGGGTGTGCAGCAGGGACGGGACAGCRGGAGCACAGCCCGGGAGAAAGCTTGGATCTGGACACAGCAGCCGGTCCCTTCCCTGAATGGGAAATCCAGCGAGGGGAATTCTCATCTTGTACATCCCGTCCATCAAATCTGCTGCATGCCCTTAACAGAACACCCAGCCCCCACCAAAGCTTTCTACGAGCTCTTCTTGGAAGTTGTATTATGAAAACGTGGAAGTTGGGCACCCGCAAACAACAGCCCTGACCTTTGAGTGATCGGCTGCAGCGAGTTGGGCAGATCGGGGATGCGGCAGAGAGGGTCCCTCGGGATGGAAAACGTTCAAGCTTGGAGAGCGGGATGCTCTTTCTCTCCCCGAGCATCCCCACCACGCCGCGGTGGGATGAGCGAGTGGGAGATGCCCTGCCCGAGGGGATTYGAGCCTGTCTGCTCCCGGCTGCTCCTTCCCACAACTTGGAGGGGCTCTCCCCAAGCTCCCCCGCACCGTCAGCGCTGCGGGGCCGGGCCAGCCCGGTGTCCCCGGTGCAGGGAAGGGGGAACTGAGCGGTGAGCGCTGCGCCGAAGAGRGCACACAATGCCGGCGGCGGCTCCGTCGGGGAGAACGGTGGCACCCGGGAGGCTGCTGGGGACGATGGAGAGCGGGAGAAGCGGGGAGAAAAAGCGTCCACTTACTCGGAAGGATCGAGGCTCTTCCTCTCGATGGCCGATGACATTGGCAGGGCCGGTTCCTTTGTGGCGTGCCGCTGGTGGGCTCTGCCCCCGCCGCCCCCGCAGAGGCTGTCTGCTCGCGGAGCCTTGTCGCCAGCCGCGCTGCCCCGCCGCCCCGCGATGACATTCACAGGATTTCCTCCTGCAGCACCGAGACAGAGAGACACACACAGGGGCTGGGGCTGCGCTCCGGCCCCGCACGGCCCCCCCCGGCTCCGCACGGCCCCCCCGGCTCTGACCTCCCATCCCCGCCGCGCTCCCCCCGCGCCCCGGCCGGCGGGGCCGCTCCCGCGGCGGGCGGGGGGCGGTGGCTGCGGCCGCCACGGCGGCTCCGCGCCCGGCGCTCAGCGCCTTTGCAGCTCCGCACCCGCTCCGCGCCCGGCCGGCAGCGCTGCGAGCGGCGGCAGCCGCATCCCCGGGATTATTATTACACCCTGGCTCAGCCCCGGCTCTCTGGTTTCATTTCCTTTTTCCTGATCACGATTCAAATACAATAGAAGGAAATCACACTTAAAGAGACAGCTGCCCGTTTCTTAACTGCACTCCTGGGGATTCGGCAATACAAACAGCAGCATCACGACTCGCTGGGTTCCTTAAAGAGACAGAGCGGGGCTCCCCGGAGCCAGGGCTGGGGGCTGCCGAGGCGTTCTCACGTTATTATTCCCTTACTAACGCTGTGGCGGTGGACAGGTAGGTGGGCGACCCGAAAATTATCCCAAGGGCTGGAAAAAAAAATAAGCGGCCGGTTCCGGACTGTGCCGCCTTCTCAGCTGCACACGGGAGCGACACTCACCGTCCCTCTCCTCGCCCTGTCCTTCTCTGACATGAGCATGCACATGCCCACACGCACACATGGGTTTGCACGGCACTGCGAGAGCCACAGGTAACGATCCCAAGCATTATTTGTCCACCCAGAGTTCAAACTGGTCAGCTCAACTGTGTCTCATTTATAGCCCCGAGTGAATGTTTGCTTCCAGACACCCCCGGTTCCTGGCAAGCTGTGGAACAAATTTACACCCTGACGCCCCGCGATGTTAATGAGCTATAAAAGCCGGCGAGTGCCAAGTATCGATCTGTAATTAATCCAAGAGACGCTAAAGATGGGGAAAGTCTTGCCTGCAGATGTCTGTTTTCCCTCCCACCCTTCCTTYTTTCCATCAGCACCGYACATCCCGGAAAGGAGTGATTTACAGCGCCGGAGTGAGAACTATTGCAGCAATCCGTGCCTTTGCCAGTCTCTGTGGCATTAGACACCGGCCCTTGCTGGAGGCAGAGCTCTGGATGAGATGAACTGTTTGGCCWGTTAATTCCTTTAAAAACAGTGAAGAAGTATCTGTAATAAAGCCCCAGAGAGTAGTAGTAGCAATACTTCATTTCTATATTAATTCCCAGAAGAGAAAATGTATTTGATGTCTATTTTTATGACTACATTCTCTTTTTTTTTCCAGCTTTTTGGCAGCTGGGGATATAATATCTGCAATACATTAATGAGTCCGATCCAAAGATTACTAATGTCAGCAGAAGGATTGTTATTCCTTTCAAGGGGCTTTGAACCAATCTCTTGAAATACTTTAGAGCTATCACTGGTCATTAAGACACATCTTTCTTATACTTTAAACACATTATCTCCAATGTATTTTAAGCTATTACAGCAGGACAGTCACTCTCATTTCTGTTGAAGGAAAAAGCTCTTTTGTTAGGTTTTTGCAGACAGGGCTGAATTAGATGATGACAATTTAATTTCTGCTGTGTTTACCCTGTGATCAGAAAAGTAAAATGTAAATCTTTCCAGAAGACTGAATAACTGAACTATTGCAAGACAGCATTAAAAAAAACATCTGCCAGGAATTTCACTCGGTTAAAAAAAAAAAAAAATCAGAAATTGAATTAAAGGTGGCTCAAAAACAAGCAGAAGGACATCAAACATGTTTTTAAAAAACTCAAGATATTTCTGTGTACTCGGTTTCTCCTGTGTCTTGAGGTTTAATAAAATATAAACTCTGAGGCAAAATTTCCCTGATGATTGCAGTACTCATATTGTAATAAACTCCTGATGGAATAATGTGAGCAATTCTGTAATGCCAGTAAATATTCTGGTTTCAGAAGTTGTGCACACACTGCAGACGCACTGGCCTGCTGCCTCTCTTCTATTTATTTTTCCAGAWTTCACAGGAAATTAATATATTTAAGACCTCTCTCCCTTCGTGTATCTAAAAGAGATCAACTGGTTCAAAAGTTTTGGTGAGGGACAAAAACATCAACATTGGCACATAAGGAATTACTTAATCCCTGAGAAAAACAAAACAAAAATGAGGACTCGTAATACATRGTGGCCAGCGATTATTAGAAAAAAACCAATTTTTAAGGGTTTACAATTCCTTGCTTTGCTCAGACCACCTCAGGTCTGGCAGATAATAAGGTGTTTCTCATATTCATAGCTGAGAATGTGCATTGATGGGCAGATCAGGAACGTTCTCTGCCAGATCAATCCCTTCAGAAAGTTTTTCTGCATCAAATCATTGCAGCAATGTGCAATGTAGAAGCTGAAGAGGGTAATTTGAATGTGGTTTATTTTTGCAGTCAGATCCAGAACAAACTTTCCTAGATGAAGTCAGATCTTGAAGCAGAGAACTCATGATAGTGCTGGGATCACTCCAYGGGCCTGCAACACCATCTGTCTCCTCATCTAAAGTAATTGTAATTAAAACTGGGAGATTATTTCTTGTGTTCTCTCAGTCCTGTGAAGGAGAGATGCCAGGCAAAGTYGTGACCAAAAAAAGTGGGAAAAAACTGGATTTGCAGTGAAAAGCTCAGCAAGGAGGTCCTCAGAATGCTGACCAAGAGGTGCATCTTCAAATACCTCTGAGGAACAAAGCCATACACCTTTTTGGGACAATTCCATTTTCATTTATTGRGTTTACATATAATAAACTCTTTCTTTTGGCCTTTCCAGCTGAGTACTTTGTGTCCCACCAGAAGAGATGACCAATAATCAAGAAGGACTTCTTTTTTTTTTTTTCACCTTGAGCAAGTCCCTTATTACCTCTTTGCCTCAATTTTCCCATCTGCAAATGTTTACTTTCCTCAGCAGAATTGGCTGTTGGTTTACTTTTGCCTCCCGCTGAATAACGTTCCCAAAGACAAAGCGTTATTCAGCGCTGGAATTGGTGGTGCYGACATTTCCTGCCCAGCACAAAAAGACCAGCACTATTTTTAGTGAAGGCTTTTCTTTCCATTGTTTCTTTCTCTGTGAAGCTGGATTTTCCAGTGCTCTTTAGTGTGGCTTTTGTGYATGTGTGTGTGTGTGTGTGTTCATTGATTGAAAATGAGTTTTGGTTTCAATTAACTTTTATTAATAAAGATCACGCTATAGACTAATTACTGGAGCATGGCTGAGGTCAAATCACTGTTAGAAGATACATTTAGCATTCAGGGCTTGGAATAATGCAGCATGAGTAAGTCAGCTAGACTTTTCTAGATGTTTCTCAATAAGAGCATTTAATATTAAGCTGCATCACTTCTGTGAGTGGTGTAATCTAAAGAAATAGCTCAATGTGCCTGTTTCCAAAGAAACATTCTCTCTTGGACTCAGGGAGTATTTTCAGCTTGGTTTTGGAAGGCTACAGGATCATCATCACCACTCAGTCTCAGGTTGTTCCTACCTTTATTCCTTTGGTATATCCCAGCTTTATCCCCCCTATAGCTTATGGATACTATTGAGCTATTTCAGGTCACCTTCATTTAGAGAAGTCTGTRTTCAGTAAGATTAACTTTGCTGCCCTCAATAGCCAGTAATGCTGGTTGCCTAAAAATGCAGTTTATGAAGATTGAAGTCTCTGCATAGATGGAAGAATTAAATCTCAGTGACGGTGGCCTAGATTTCCTGTTAATGCTTTCTGCAGGAGGGAAAAGTCAGGACCGTGACTAAAGGTGAGCAATTAACACCAAAGGTGGCATAAAGGAATCAGGATTTCTGTCATTTGGGCTATCTTCTGCTGCTGACCCACCATTTGGTGATATAATCACTGCTCCACTGCAATCCACCCATTTGCAAGAATCCTCCTCCTTCTCACCTCTCACTGGGCTGAACCCTTGACCTGCCAGCCTTTGGGGTGAGGCTCTGAAGAAATGGGAATGTTGGGTTGATTTAGGTTTTTTGAAAACAAATTTGACACCACAGAGCAAGAGCATTGGGGGACACAGAATATTTGAGGAGGAATTTGGAGGCTGGAACTAGAGGATCCTCAAGGTGCCTTCTAAGCCAAACCCTTCTGTGATYCCATGATTCTATATAAACCAGCTGCTGTTGAGGAGCTGTGGCTGTGCTACTGGAGAATCAATGCTGTATCAACAGTTACTCATATCACCACAATGTCATATTAATGGCATGAAGGCCACCACACCATTCAAGGACAAAACAAAACTGTATTTGTTCCCTTTTTATGAATCTGGAAATTTTGTTTCAGCCAGAAAGTTCTGTTCTGGTCTGTGTGCTCTCCACTAGTGTTGTCTTGATGTTGTTGAGGTTTCTTTTCATATCAAACCCTCCTCATCATTCTCCTAATTAGCACATTTTCTAAGCTCCCTGAGGACAGAGGTGGATGAAGAGGATAAGGAATTGTCACTGAGGACAAGGAATTGTCACTGAGTGATGACCACATGCACTGACTTGAACACACTTTGGAGGCTTTTGGTGAAGGGTGACTCGGAGAACTTACAGACCCCTGACCAGARGCACACTTCTCTTTTTGGGGCTTAACCCTTCCTTTGAACTGGAAGAAAACAAAMCAGAACAATAAAAACCACACCGAGGGTGAGGTTTGCCCTGGGACTGTGAGGTCCAGACGTTAGATAARGATCCTGGTGCATAAAGAGGTCTGAGCAGTTACGAAGTTTTGTTTTGCCTTTATTTTCTCCCACAAGCAACAAAGATGAGAAATAAACGACCCAGCCCAGCAACTGTGGTTATAGCCCAGAGAAATCTTCAGCTGCAGATCGCATCAGGGATGACGAAAAGTRAGTTACAGGCAGTCAGATGAAGGGATATTTCACTGCAAAAACGTGAAAGGTTCCACCTCCCCATTTCCTCCCTCTTCTTTTATTGATTTCTCTTGCTGCCATCAAGCCTTTGCTGCCTTGCACACAAGCCAGATCCAATTACTCTGTCGTGGTTTTCATAAGGCTAYTGCTCTACAGTGCAGTCCTTTCAAGTAATTCCCCCTTTTTCCATGGTAAATACTCTCTCCTGTGCTGGTGCATGGGAAAGAGCCCAGAAGGGCACTGGGGAGAGTTTTGACTTTAGCATTAAACATCTCATCCCAACCCATTCATGTCAAGGGAGAGACACATCTGAACCAAAATGGGCTTTGAGCCGGACCCACAAATACTTTCAGTTTAGAAAATAAATGGTGACTTAGGAAAGCAATTCCCTCAGCGAAAAATTCGGAGGGAA